GAAGTGGCGCTGTGGCTCAAGTGGTAGAGCGCTAGCCATGAGCTGAAGAGCTGAGGGACAGTGCCCAGGGCCAGAGTTCAGGCCCCACGACTGGACCCAAAAAAAAAAAAAAGAACGGCTCTCCTCTATCCATCAGCTATTGTGAGGGCCTACACAGTTTGACTTGTAGAGGAACAGTCCCTCACCAGACACTGATCTGCTGGTTCCTTGATCTTGGACTTATTGGTCTGTAGAACTGAAGGAAATAAACTACTCACGCACGCATGCACACGTGTGTGCGTGCTTGTGCAAGTGTGTGTGTGTCAGTCTTGGGGCTTAAACTCAGGGCCTAAACACTGTCCCTAAGCTATTTTGCTCAAGGCTACACTCTACCACTTGAGCCACAGCTTCATTTCTGGCTTTTTTAGTAGTACCCAGCCTGGCTTCAAACTGTGGTTCTTGTTTTTTTTGTTGTTTTCTTTTGGTCGGTTGTGGGGCTTGAACTCTGAGCTTAGGCACTCTCCCTGTGCTCTTCAGCTCAAGGCGAGCGCTCTACTACTTAAGCCACAGCACCACTTCCGGTTTTCTAGTGGTTTATTGGAGATAAGTCTCACGGACTTTCCTGCCTGGGCTGGCTTTGAACCAGGATCCTCAGATCTCAGCCTCCTATGTAGCTAGGATTACAGATGTGAGCCATCAGCAACCAGCTATAAATTTATAAATTAAAGAAAAAAAAAAGGGCAGTCTCTGGAGTGAAGAGAGGTGAGTTATACTCACATTAATTAATAATGGAAGAGCTTTATCTATGGGAACACATCAATTATATACAATCAGTTCATTTACTATTTGGAATGTAACCAAGTATATCACTGCACTAACTTTGTAGTGCTGATAACTACCCATGCCCTTACCCTCATTGGATGGATATCAGCATATGGGGGCTTTCCTTCAGCCATTTCTATGGCAGTTATTCCCAGAGACCAGATGTCTGCCACACAGTTGTACCCAATTTCCTGAATCACTTCAGGGGCCATCCAAAATGGTGTTCCTATCACGGTATTCCGCTTGGCCATTGTATCCTAAAGTAGAAAGGGGAGAGACCAAATCTAGTCATTAAAACTACTAAGAGAAAGAGACTTTTTTTGTTGTTGTTAGTCATGGGTCTTCAGACCTAAGCATTGTCCCTGAGCTCTTTTGCTCAAGGCTAGTACTCTACCACTTTAAGTCACAGCTCCACTTCCGTTTTTTGGGCAGTCAATTGGAGATAAGAGTCTCATGAATTTTGGTTGTTAATTAAGAGATTAAAGCCTCATGGACTTTCCTGCCTGGCTGGCTTTAATCCATGATTCTCAAATCTCAGTTTCTGAGTGGCTAAGATTACAAGCATGAGCCACCAGCTTCAAAAGAGACTTTTATATAAAAAAAAAATCATAAACTACAAATATATATAAAAACATTACTAAAGACAATACAGAAGAAATTTAAATACCAAGAAACATAAGAAGATTCTCAATTAACTATTAAAACAAACTAAATAAGATTATTATTTTTTGTAACCAGTAAATAGTACTGATAATAGCACTAAACATCAGGAACTGAAATACAAGATCTCTGTAATATAAACTAGTACAACAATACTAGCCCAATTAAATAATACGTTTTAAAAATAAGTATTTTTTTAATTGCCTCCTCAGGGCAGATCTGGAAGTTTAAAAAAAAAAAAGCAACAAATTTTTCTTACCGTCAGCTGGCCTGCTACTCCAAAATCTGCAAGTTTTGCATGTCCTTCTGTATTTAGCAAAATATTTCCTGCTTTGATATCTCGGTGTATTTTTCTCATAAAATGAAGGTACTCCAGGCCCTTAAGAGTTGACTGTAATATTGTAGAAATTTCATCTTCTGTTAACTAAAAAAAAAAAAAAAGTTCAGATTCTGTTTACATCACACAACAGAAAAACTCTTTTTCTTGACTGCAAACATCCTATTCTGACTGCTTAGAGTTCCTTCAACATGGTAACCACTCCTTGTGGTATTTCTTGACTATATCTACCCCAAAATATGAAATTCATGTATATGCTGACAATATCTCTAACTGAAGCATTACAAGCAGAAAATGTCAAAATCCAATTCTTTATTTTGGGGTTAGGGCTTTTCTAGTAAGCATGAGGCTCTACTTTCAATCTCCAGTACTAGTCCACCCTATCCCTTCCTCCTTTCCACCAAAACTACTCTGCTTTTCTCAGTGTTCTCTCAGTAAAAATTGACTTCATTCTTTCAGTTGCTCTAGCTAAAAACATTGAGGTCATCCTTCACTCTTCTCTATCTTCTGTAATTACATTCAGGTTGCCATAATATCCTGCCTGCACTATTCTGATAGCTTCTGAACTGGTCTTACTGCCTCTGTCCTTAGCCCTCTATAATGCATTTTTCATTTTAAAATATAAGCCAAACCTGTTCAAAACCTGCCAACTGCTTTTGAAGTCACATAACACTATTTAGCTCCTTATCAGCTGCCTCTCCAACTTTATCTTCCAGGATTTTCTACTTTCTTGTTCCATTCCAGCCAGATTGGCTTCCTTGCTGCTACTTGACAAATGGAAGAACACACACACACCCTTCTCCTGGACCCCTTTATGTGTTATTCTCTGACTATAGGACCCTTCATCCAATGTCTATACCATTTGCTTCCTTACATCACTTATTTTGCCCAAATGTCATGTCATCAGAAAAGCAGAGACCGGAGCTGAGCGCCGGTGGCTCACGCCTGTAATACTAGCTACTCAGAAGGCTGAGATCTAAGGATAGCGGTTCAAAGCCAGCCCAGGCAGGAAAGACCATGAGACTCCTATCTCCAATAAACCACTAGAAAACAGAAGTGGCGCTGTAGCTCAAGTGGTAGAGCGCTCGCCTTGAGCTGAAGAGCTGAGGGACAGCACCCAGGCCCAGAGTTCAAGTCCCATGACGAAAAAAAAAAAAAAGAAAAAAGAAAAGCAGAGGCCTTTCTTAATCCACTCTTAAATCATTCTCTACTTCCTCATCTCGACTTGTTTTTTAGTGCAGTATATCAGACATACCATGAATTACTGGAGTACCTATTTGTACCATGTCTTTCCTATTAGAAATACAAGCACCAGGGGCTGGGAAGGTGGCTCAGTGGTAGAGCGCTTGCCTTGCATGCATGAGGCCCTGGGTTCGATTCCTCAGTACCACATAAGCAGAAAAAAAAAGCCGAAAGTGGTGCTAAGGCTCAAGTGGTAGCGTGCTAGCCTTGAGCTGAAGAGCTGAGGGACAGCACCCAGGCCCAGAGTTCAGGCCCCATGACCGGACCCCCCCCAAAAAAAAAAAAAGAAATACAAGCACCATTAAAAATGTCTCTTTTGAGGGCTGGGAAAGTGGCTCAATGGTAGAGTGCTTACCTTGCATACATGAGGCCCTGGGTTTGATTCCTCAGCACCACATAAGCAGAAAAAGCCAGAAGTGGTGCTGTGGCTCAAGTGGTAGAGTGCTAGTCTTGAGCTAAAGAGCTAAAGGACAGTGCCCAGGTCCAGAGTTCAGGCCCCACGACCAACAAAAATAAATAAATAAACAAATAAATGTTTTTTGTTTCTATTTGTACCTTCAACACCAAGAAAGCTAGTTGGCACATACTGGATGCTGAAAGATGATGGCTCAATGTAGTTGAGAATGCTGGAGACTTGCATAGAAACCACCTGACACCAAATGTTGACTCTGTGCAGAGCTACCCCAAGTTCCACACAAAAGCTCTTTTGTTGACATTTAGAAGCAAAAGAGCTGTGGTGAAAAGAAACGTGTGAACTTAGAGAAAGACCTAGCCTTTATTCTTAGGGAACAATTCTTTTTTTTTTTTGTGTCCAGTCATGGGGCCTGAACTCAGCCTGGGCGCTGTCCCTGAGCTCTTCAGCTTAAGGCTAGCGCTCTACCACTTGAATCACAGCGCCACTTCCAGCTTTTTTCTTTTTGCTTATGTGGTGCTGAGGAATCGAACCCAGGGCCTCAGGCATGCAAGGCAAGCACTCTACCACT